TGGATTCTAAATTATACACAGATTTAAAAGCAACTGAACAAATTAATGGAAGAAAAATCCCCAAAAGCTATTATATAGCTATTATATAGCCATTATATAGCTACTATATAGCACCTGTGGCTGAGAAAATACATTAATTTATTGGGGGCTGGGAGAGGATTCTACGTGCTTCCATGTTCTTACACTCTTCCTTAAACATCTGCCAGTGTCCAGTTTTGGAGACAGAATACTTTTGATTTAATTCATTGGTTACGTTCTTCTGACTCTTTTTTTCTTCTTTTTTTTTGGTCAGTTTTTATATCTTCTGCTGTATTTTCCAAAAATCAGTTGCACTCTGTGCAATTACAGATGATTGTTTCTTAACTTGTAATGGAAAAGAAGTAGATGTAACCCATTTTCATCCATACAAGTAGGTACATATGCTGATTTAAACATCTCTCTTGTTTCAGGGCATAAACTAATGTCTCTGAAGGGTAACCAGCTATCCTAACAATGCCTGATGAATCACAGTTTGGGAGCATCAAGAATGGGCTTTTTTCTAAAGCAACGTATGTGAACACTTCTGGAGGCTGTTTGCGCATAAGATGGGCCAATCACCTGATCCATAACTCATGAGGCATAGTGTTTGATAACGACAAGAATTACAAGCTTGAAGTTGATAAAATAACTTGTGCTTCATATCTAAAAAATATCTTTAGTAAGCTTTCTATCACTTTATAAACATTGGTAGAGATTTTCCTAAACTTCACTTACTGAGAAATTTGGAAAAACATACATGAACATTATAATCAATATTATTCAGGTAACAGTATATTCTGTTTCAACACATAGCCTTTTAGATGAAGCTTAACTATTGATCTATAAAGTCAGCATTTTGTTTCTTGCCATTCCCATTGGCTGAGATGTAGCAGAGAGAATTTCCCAAGTAAATTCAGATTACAGCACCCTTCAGAAGGGTTGTCACTGACTGAGAGGAAACAATTATGTTTTTATGTACATTTGTTGCTGTGGGTGCATTACATATTAAAATATAGGTTCAGTCACATTCACCCAAATTCATCCTAGAGTGCACAGCACAAGACCTCTATTTCTATGCTACTGAACTAAGACTTTCTGGTCAATCTGGAAGTATCCTAAAGCTTTCACCAATCTTTTAATTCCTGAATTATTTTCTTCTGCCTGAAGTTTCCCTTCTGCTTCCCTTCTGTTTGCTATTAATGCTTCATCTCTTCTGGGAGGGTGATTCACAGTTAATCAGCTCATCTATGCTAAGACATTCAAAAACATCATTCTATGGATAGGCCAGCAGGCACTGTTGTAACCCTTGTGTGGTTAAACCCTTCTCTCTCCTTAGGGGCTTCACTGTCTTTGCTGCCCTGTAACTGTTACACAATTACCACCAAACCATTGGGCCAGCTGCAGACATTAGTACCATCAACAGAATTGCAGAAAATGTAATTTAGGTTACCTAATGAGCAGCTTGTTTACATAAACACACCAGGTAAAGTGGGGAAAAAAAAGGTTCTACAACTTGGAACACAAATTAATATTAGGTAGATAGAGAGAAAAAACTTCCTGTGCGTGAACAGGAACATCTACATTGTGTTTAACATTTTTGTTTTCCCATTGTCTTTTAGAACTTTCACATAGAAAACATAGTTTTCAAATTTGAACAAATATTTAAATATTCAGTCTCTAGTTAGTCGAAATTTTGAATGAATTCTCCTATTTTATTATCGCCATTTGGAGGGTACAAGCCATGTTCTGTATCCATGCACTGGATTCTGAAATATACCTGACTTTGCTTGCTTCATATATACAATATATATATATATATTTATATATACAAAATAAAGTTAGAGTGTACCATTAATTACCACTAATTCCATATTGAATGTCCGTTTTATCCTTTAACTAGAAGAAATTCTAGTCACTCATCCTCTCCTCACCTTTCTGGTTTCCTCTGTCTTAGCATTACTAGATTCACAAGCTCACACTTGTTTTATTAGGCAGTCTTTTAAACTAGAGTTTTCACAGACTGAATTTGCGGTGTTCATGTTGCCAGACCCATTAGCGTGTCTTCTGTAGCAAGGTCAGAACCTTGCAATTTTCCATGCACATTCCCATGTATTTTTATTAATTAAACTCCTCTTTATTAACTGTGAGCTTGAGGTAGGTCATCCTCTTCTTGAAATACACTAACATATTGTTTTTCAGATTCTCTCATGCTTATCACATAACCTATGTAACTGTAATATTTCTTGCTCAAAAGTTTTAGCATGCACCTGCACATCATCCAGGTTGAGAAACTGTTGATGAACAGGTACCAACATGGGGTTGCTATTATAATTTCTTCCCCTAGGGGTAGGAAAATACACTCATTACAGATCAGTCACCTACACAATAGATGTTTCACTGAGACATATTTAAAGGTAATTACCAAACACTAATTTTGCAAGCCATTTTTCCTGTCATTTGTTAGTTATCAGCCACTATCAGTTCATCCACAAACTCAGCTATCCAGTCCTCTCAGTCTAGTTCTTGAAATCCAATTTTTATACCTTGTTTTCTCCACATTGGGGTGAATGCATACTTCCTAATCATTCATTTACTCTGTGGGAGGATTTAAATTGCTCATTTGAATCACCTAGCATTTTATTCCTTAGTATGTCTGGTCTAAAAACTATCAAACGTAAACCAGCCTACTGTTCTTGCATACTACACTGTCCCCATTAAATATTTACTAGATCTGTTCATATTAAGTTTACCAAATCTTTAAAAAGCACAGTAAACAGAACAGAGCAAAACTAAAACTGTGAGTCTCTAGCTCTACCCCTTAAGTTTAATGTCCATCAGTTTTCCAAAAAGGGTGATGAAATTTAAGAAACTGTTAGCCACTCTTAAAATGTGGGGTTTTTTTTCCACATTGTTGGAAAAAAATGTTCCACATTGTTCCGCATTTTACACTGCAACAGCATTGTATTTACCAGCTTATTTTTTTCCTCATTACTGACTGTGGGTTCTTTTGCTTCTGTAACCAATTTTAACAATATTTCTATAAACTTACCTTCATTTGACAGTTATACGTATAACCTTTAGTGTACCGGTTTATTTAAAGGGGAAGAATATCCCTGGTCTGAACACAGTAATTTTGGTTAAAAAGCTACTTTAGATCAATATGCGCATTTCTGTATGAGACAGGGAACACCGATACAGATCACCTTTATATAATGCATATCAGGGAGCAGCAAAGGCCACCTGCACCCTAAAGAAGGCTAGTCAGGAGCTGAGGGTGACCACAATGCAGGCTGGGCAATGACCTCGGCCACCAGGCACAGCCCCACAGACATGAGCTGGGCAAGCAGAGCAGGGGTGCTGACAGCAACAGATCCTCACGACAGTCCAGTGGCCATCAGACAAAAACAAGGTAACAGGTCTAAGGTCAATCCAGGAAATCCAAACAATAATTCAGGATCAGGACTGGGTACAGGTGTATCTACACCACAGCTCAAGCCACGACTGAATGCTGAAGCCTAAGCTTACATATGGCTCCTGTGGCAGAGGCAGAGGGTGTGGGTGGAAGCCTGTGGTGGAAGTACTTTATCTCAAGTACTCAAATTAGTACTAGAAACACTCCTTCTCATCTACCCAAACATTTCTTTGACTTACTATAGCTGCGAATAAATCTTCCAGGACTTTTTGCATAAATGTTTACCATATTTTGTATTTATTACTTGAATAAGGATGGTATGATTTCTCCTACTCAGCCTCTCTGGGGAGCAAACGGGATATAAAAGTATAGTATATATTCTCTCTCTCCCATCTTTCTAGCTGACTAGATTCTTCAGCCAAGCAGTTGGCTTCCACAGTGATCTGCAGTTTAGAGGTCTTTTTAAGCCAAATTTCCAATTTTTTTATTCCTCACTGCAGATCATCTCCAACTCTAAAAAGTTAGAAATTGTTAAATTACGCTAGAAATTGCCCAAACCTTTCTGAAAACTTCCTGTAAAACATGTTTAATAAAATTGTTTGGTACCTGTTTGATCCTGTTCGTCAACTCCAATAAGGCACCTTTCAAAATCTGTCTTAGTGCAATTTCTGAGTCAACGTAAGCTTTGTTTTCAGCAGACTGCACTTCATCTCTCCTCCACTTCTTTTTGAGAAGTCTCCAGTCCCCTTTACGACCTTACTTGGGCTTGTAATTCTTTCTAGCCATACTTTATTGCCTTTTCAGCAGCATTGGTTTCTGTGACCAACAGTGCAAAATGTTCTATCATAGCTCTTCAAGAGTACCAGCTCACAGCCCCTCTCTCTGCCTTTTTTTCTTTGACTTCTGTAGTCCCTAGGCATCAGATATTTATTTCTGCCTGGGACTCCAGCCTGTTTCTTGCCACGCCGGGTACTGTCCCCGTGGGGATGGCTCACCTCTTTACAGGGCTTTCCAGGATGGACAGTCCTGGTCCTCATCTGGTCTGGATATCAGTCCCCAGTGGATTGCTACGGGCTCTGGATCACGCTCGTGGCGCGTTTTGGCCCTGTTCAGGCGGTGCCTGACGATTCAGTTCCCACTGACAGGACGTAAGGCGCTGTGGCGGGCAGGGAGGCAGCTCTCCTCCACGACCCGCTGCTGGAGATGAGTGTCCCACTCAGCCCCCTTCCTGGCGCTCCTGCTCGGTAGGACTCTTGCCACTTTT